GAGGGTGGGGTTATGAGGGGGCGGGGCCAGAAGTGGCCAATGAGAGAGGGTTGGGGCGGGGTTTATAATGAGATGGGCGGGGCTTAAATACCAAGGAGAAAGGGAAGGGCGGGGTTTATAATGAGAGGGGCGGGGCCAGAACCGGCCAATGGGAAAAGATGGGGCGGGGTTTTACCATTAGAAGGGGTGTGGCCAGTAGTGACCAATAAGAAAAGACCTTTCGTTGTTAAAGGGGCGGGGCTTAAAGCAGCCAGTGGGAGCAGGAAGGGGCGGGGTTTTGTTGGGATTTGGGGCGGGGCCTAAAGCGGCCAATGGGAGATGTGGAAATTGGGGGCGGGGCTGGAAGGAGCCAATGGGAGAGCCCAGGAAAGAGCAGCCAATGAGAGAGGGAGGGGGCGGGGCTTCCCGATTTGGGGGCGTGGCCTGCACCGGCCAATGTCAGAGCCCCAAGGTAAGGGTGGGCGGGGCTTATAGCAGCCAATGGGAGAGAGAACAGGGGAATGTGGGCGTGGCCAAGCCAAACCAATGAGCAGTCAGAAAGGGGGCGGAGCCTCCAAATAGGGTGGGGCTTTCTTAGGGGGTGTGGCCTTTGAAGGGGGCGTGGACTCACGAATTCTGACCCTTTTCCCTACCTGCAGATCGGATGACGTCACTGCTCCAATGAAGACCCCGCCCCCTCCACACAGACTCCACCCACTCAATGGAGACCCAACCCCCTTACAGACCCCGCCCCCTTTCCCCAAATAAATGCATTGACCACACCCACGACCAAATACGGAAAAGGGGGCGGAGCCTTTATTGAGCGCGGCCGAATGGGTGGGGCCAGGCCAGGGTGGGCGTGGCCTCGGGATGGGCGTGGCCTCGGTGTGGGCGTGGCCTCACTGTCGCTCGTAGATGATGCGGAGCAGCCTCAGGCTGGGCCCGTAACGCTGCTGCTGCCGCTGGGCGGCCTCGCGCCACCTGGGAAACACCAGTATGGACCAGTATAGACCAGTATGGACCAGTATAAACCAGTATAGAACCTTAAAAACCAGTATGGACCGGTATAAACCAGTATAGACCAGTATGTACTGGGATAAACCGGTATAGACCAGAATAAACCAGTATGGACCAATATGAATTGGGATAAACTGGTATGGACCAGTATGGATCCCAGTTGCTTCCAGTTCAATCCCAGTTACATTCCCAGTCCATCCCAGTTTGTCCCAGTATATCCCAGTTCACTGTAATCCAATCCCAGTCCATCCCAATCCATTCCCAGTGCATCCCAGTCCCATTCCCAGTATATCCCAGTCCCTCCCAGTCTATCCCAGTATCTCCAGTCACATCCCAGTCCCATTCCCAGTCCCAGTCCATCCCAGTATCCCCCAGTAACCCCAGTCCCATTCCCAGTATATCCCAGTCCATCCCAGTATCCCCAGTCCCATTCCCAGTATCCCCAGTCCCAGTCCCAGTCCCATTCCCACTATATCCCAGTATCCCCAGTATCCCCAGTCCCATTCCCAGTCCAATCCCAGTATCCCCAGTCTCTCCCAGTTTATCCCAGTTCAATCCCACTCTCTCACCGTTGCCGCACCCGTTTCCATCTCTCCATGTTTTTGTAGATCAGTGACGTAATCGAGGGGGCGGGGTCCAGAACCTGGGGGCGGGGCCAAGGGTGATGATGTCATTGAAGGGGTGGGGCCAAGGGAGATGACATCATTGAAGGGGAGGCCATGGGGCAGTGACATCATTGAAGGGGCGTGGTCAAAGGGAGGTGACATCATTCAAATGGGGG